GGAGAATCGCTTGAACCTGGGAGGCGGAGGTTGTGGTGAGCCGAGATCCTGCCATTGCGCTCCAGCCTGGGCGAAACTCCGACTCAAAAGAAAAAAAGAATTAAATTTTTGAGATATATTCTGCAACAGTTATGAATAAAATGGTGTGATGGCTGGGATTTGTTTGGAAATTACCCACAAGGAAAGTAGGCGGGACATAGAGAAAAATTTTCCATGACTGGTAACTGTTGAAGCTGGGTGACAGGCACATGGGAGTTCATTTTATTTTAGTCTTTACTTTTGTATTTGTTTGAAACAGTCCATAATAGACGTGGTGACTCATGCTTGTAATCTCAGCACTTTGGAAGTCCAGTGGCGGGGGTAGACCAGGAGGTCAGGAGTTCGAGATCAGCCTGGCCCACATGGTGAAACCTCGTCTCTACTAAAACTACAAAAATTATCTGGGCATGGTAGTGAGTGCCTGTAGTCCCAGCTACTGGGGAGGCTGAGGCAGGAGAATCACTTGAACTACAGAGGTGGAAGTTGCACTGAGCCAAGATTGTGCCACTGCACTCCAACCTGGGTGACAAAGCGAGACTCCATCTCAAAACAAACAAACAAACAAACAAAAAAGAAAGTCAGAGTCTTGCTCTGTTACTCAGGCTGTAGTGAGGTGGCATAATCATGGCTCAGTGTAGCCTCAAACTCCTGTGCTCAAGGGATTCTTCCACCTCCCCCTCCTGAATTGCTAGGATTACAAGTGTGAGCCACTGTGCTCTGCTCAGCTGACTTAAAAATAGAGAGATTATCCCAGATTATCTGGCTGGGCCCAATGTAATCACAAAGGTCCCTAAAAGTTGGAGAGGGAGGCAGAATATTTCAGAGTCAGAGGGAGATGTGACTATGGCGGAATGGTCATAGAGATACAAGGATACTGGCTTTGAAGCTGTAAGAGGGGGACCACAAACCAGGGACCACAAACCACCAGAAGATGGAAGAGGCAAGGAAATATACTCTCCCTTACAGCCTCCAGAAAGGAAGGCAGCCTGCCGACATCTGGATTGTTAGCCCAGTGAGACCCATGTTGGACTTCTAATCTAGAGAAGTGTAAAATAATGAATTTGTGTTGTTTTAAGCTGCTAAGTATGAGGTAATTTGTTATGGGAGCAACAGCAAACTAATAACACTAGTCAACTGATTTTTCACACGAGTGCCAAGACAATTCCATGGGGGGAAGGAATAGCCTTTTTGTTTGTTTGTTTTTGAAAGAGGGTCTCCTTCTGTTGCCCAGGCTGGAGTGCAGTGGTGTGATCTTGGCTCACTGCATCCTCCAACTCCTGGGCTCAACCCATCCTCCCGCCTCAGCCTCTCAAGTAGCTGAGACTACAGACATGCACCACAACGCCAGGCTAATTTCTTTCTTTCTTGTTTTTTGGGAAAGATGGGCCTCACTATGTTGCCCAGGCTAGTGGAAAAGTCTTTTCAACAAATGGTGTTGGGACAACTGGATATCCACATACAAAAGAATTAAGTTGAACTTCCACCTCTCACCATATATAAAAATTAACTTGAAATAGACCAGGTGTGGTGGTTCATGACTATAATCCCAGCACTTGGGAAGGCCAAGGCAGGAGGATTCCTTGAGCTTGGGAGTTCAAAGTGGCAGTGAGCTATGATTACACCACTGCATTCCAGCCTGGGTGACAAAGTGAGACACTGCCTCTAAAACAAAACAAAACAAAACCCCTCAAAATAGATAACAAACTTAAATGTAAGAGCAAAAACTATAAAAGTCTAAGAAGAAAACACAGAGCAAATCTCTGTGACCTTGGGTTAGGCAATGGTTTCTTAGATAAGACACAAAAAGCAAGCAAGAAAAGACAAAACAGGCAAATTGGACTTTATCAAATCTGGAAGCTTTTGTGCATCAAAGGAAACCATCAAGAAAGTAAAAAAAATAACCCACAGAATCAGGGAAAATATTTGCAAAACATGTATCTGATAAGGGACCTACATTCAGAATATATAACAACTTTTATAATTCAATGATATGAAGACAAGAATCCAATTAAAAGATAGGTTGATCAGGTGCCTGTAGGTTGGTGGCTCATGCCTGTAATCTCAGTACTTTGGGAGGCCAAGGCAGGCGGATCACCTGAGGTCAGGAGTTTGAGACCAGCCTGGCCAACAGGGAAAAACCCCATCTCTACTAAAAACACAAAATTAGCTGAGTGTGGTGGCGGGCACCTGTAATCCCAGCTACTTGGGAGGCTGAGGCAGGAGAATCGCTTGAACTCGGGAGGCAGAGGTTGCGGCGAGCTAAGATCGTGCCATTGCACTCCAGCCTGGGCCACAAGAGCAAAACTCCATCTCAAAAAAAAGATAGGTCACTAAAGTTGGTATACAACACCTCACTGCTAAATTTGACTGGCTTTTAAAAAGATAGGCTAAGGATTTGAATATACAGTTCTTCAAAGAAGATAAATATCCCATAGCACATGAAAAGATGCTCAACATCATCAATCATTAGGAAAATGTAAATAAAAACCACAATATCATACTGTTTCACACCCACTAGGATTGCTAAAATAAAAAAGACAGGCAACAACATGTGTTGGTAAGGATTAAAGAAACATTGGAACCCTTATACCTCGCTGATGGGATTGAAAATTGGTACAGCCAACTTGGAAGACAGTTTGGTAGTTCCTCAAAATGTTAAATATAGATTTACCATGTAACTCAGTAATTCTGCTCCTATGTATCTAAAGATAAATGAAACCATATGTCCACATAAAACTTGTAGAAGAATGTTCATAGCACTATTCATAATTGCTAAAAAGTAGAAAGAACCATGCCAGGCGCAGTGGCTCATGCCTGTAATCCCAGCACTTTGGGAAGCTGAGGTGGGCGGATCACCTGAGGTTGGGAGTTTGAGACCAGCCTGGCCAACATGACAAAACCCTATCTCTACTAAAAATACAAAAATTAGCCGGGCATGGTGGCCTGTGCCTGTAGTCCCAGCTACTCGGGAGACTGAGGCAGGAGAATTGCTTGAACCCAGGAGGTGGAGGTTGCAGTGAACCAAGATTGCGCCACTTCACTCCAGCTTGAGCAACAGAGTGAGAATTCGTCTCAAAAAATAAATAAATAAATAAATAAGTAGAAAGAACCAAAATGTCCATCAATTAATTAATGGATAAACAAAATATGGCATATCCATACCAAGGAATATTATCTGGCAATAAAAAGGAATAAAGCAATGATACATGCTGCAACATGAATGAACTTTGCAAACATGTTAAAAGAAGTCAACAAAAGACCATATATTGTATAATTCCACTTATATGAAATGTCTAGAATATGAAAACCTATAGAAACAGAGTAGATTGGTGGTTTCCAGAGGCTGGGGGAAAAGTGGGAACCAACTGCTAATGGGTACAGGACTTATTTTTGGGGGGACAAAAATATTCTACAACTAGATTGTGGAGATGGTTCTACACCCCTGTGAATATACTAGAAGACATTGAATGGTACATTTTAAATGGGTAGATTGTATGGTATGTGAATTATATCCCAATAAAGCAGTTAAGAAAATAGTTATTAAAACATATAATAGGTATATCCCAAAGGGGAGAAAGGTGTGGTGCATGAGCTCAGCCCAGACAGGCTGTGTTGAGTGGGGAGAGCAATGGATGAAGGAGCTGGTTGGAGCTGTAAAGTGCATAGGCCAAGAGTAGAGGTGGGGGCTGGGTCTTGAAGGAGAAACTGAGTGCACTGAAGAATTCTGCCTGCTTCACAGCGTTATCAAGGGTCAGCCTTTGGATGATCTCTGGAAGAAGGTTCCAGAGCCTCAAGGAGGAGATTCTATGATGTCAGCACCTGACCTTTGTGACATACCCACAAGCTGCCAGGGAGAACTGAACTCAGTGAATGGGGACCCTAGCTCCCATTGGGGGCGGCAACCCTGGTGCCACCTCTTAGACAAAGTCCCAGTCTCCCAGAGGCTTTTACCAGCTGGCCCCATTCCTTCTGCTGCTGGGTGTAATGAGCCATCTCTGTCTGGGCCAGGGTGAGCTAGAGGACATCAGCACTAGGGGCAACAAGGGGTCAGAGGAACCAGAGTGGCAGGACACTAGGATGCTTGCAGAACCCCTGAGTCAGGATTAGGAGAATAAAAACCTGTACCACAGGCCTCCAAATGACTGAAGGAGGACTGAGGGCAAAACTCACGGCTCAGACAGAAACCCGGCTTACAGTGCGTTTAGTGTTAGATGCTGGGGACAGAGAAAGGTGTATCCACCATTTGGTGACTCTGCTCCTCTCTCCCAGGTCCGCTCAATGCTGAAGTGCCTGTGAAACACAGACCAGAGGAATTCTCATTGGTAAGAGCTCCCGGCACCAGAACACCCTTAATTCCTGTTTCTATCTCAGCCCCTAGCCCCCAAACCCCTCCTCCAATTCATCCTACCCTCCCTTCCTCCTTATTCCTCTCCTCCCCACTTCTCACCTTCCCTGGAGCATTTTGCCAGCTCTTTTGATCCCAAAGGTGACATGGATTTAAAGTCTTGGTGAGTTCAGCTTGGAACTAGGGACATGAGGCAGAGCCAGAAATGGACCAATTCTCCCAGTGTCTTGGGTTCTGTCTTTTCTCTCCAGGTCCTATGGGCTTTGTCTTCCTCTCTGCCCCGCCCAGATAATCGCTGTTGCCCCTCCGCTCTCAAGAGGCAGCTGTGATTCTCCATCCCCACACATCCCTCATCAATGGCTGACTGCAAAGAAGTGAGAAGCCAAGCTTAGGTTCATGCTCATGCCTGAACACCCAGAGAGCCTGGTGCTGGAGGTCTGGGTGTCCCCTTGGCCTGCCACTAGCACCTGCACCCACACCAGGCTGGAGCCAAGCTCTGCGCACAGAAGACGGCCTTGATTTCTCAGGCACAGCTGACCTCAGAGATACTGGTCCTGACTCTGCCAGTTCTCTCATACCTAGTCTTGTTGCCCCAGTTCCTTCTGGATTCAAGGCGATGTTGCCTCAAAACAAGGACCAGGTTCTGCCACAGACCTCAGTGCTCCCCGGGTGCCCCCCTTGGGGCTTCTCACAACTTGTGGACTCCTCTCCTCACAACCTACAGCCTCTCTCAGCCCATCAGTCCCTCCGTCCCTCTCACCCACCGTTCTTTTCCACTCAGTCCCATCATCCTTCCTCCCCTCCACCAGCATCCCCCTCTCCTGGCTTCCAATTTGGCTCTTGTGACCCAAATTCTGACTTTGTGCCACATCCCTGTTCTCCCTCTCTCCCAAGTTCCCCCACTTTCTTTCACCAGAACTACCTCTCTCTCCCCAATCCACGTGCATCGTCTCCCTCCAACCACTGGCTGTACCCCTCTCCTCCTCTGACCCCTTCCTTCTCTCCCTCCCAGCCCCAGAACTCCTCCCTTCCCCACTCACCTTGCCAGTCTCCTTCCCACCCCGAGGACCTGCATAGCTCCACGCTCACTTCCCCAGGCCCAAGTCCACCTTCTCAAAGGCTCCACTCTAACAGGCAGACATGGCGCTGGCATCAGTACAGGGACACCGGGTCCGGGTCCCCTGGGGTAGTGGAGAGATGCGTGCCAAGCAAGAAGGATCCTGCACAGTTCAGGGACCCAGGGGCCCTGGCCCAGGCCCTGGTGGTCCAGCTGGGGCACCGCCGCATCGCACACGACCTGCGGCTCCTGCTTTTGCAGCACCTGTGGCTAGGCAGAACCGGCCAGGCCCCAGTCATAGAGTATCCTATATGCCTGGTGTGCCTCCGGCCCCGCAGCCCCTCCTGCCCCCTCCCCAAGTACAGGACTGGACCCCGGCTGCTTGCCTTCCCCCAACTACTGCCCTGTGTGGAAGGCCAGGAATCTGGGCCACTCCGGATAGGCATCGGCTTCGGCCTCCGCCTGCCCCAGGGCCAGGCCAGGGCCTTGCATCTGCTGCCAGAAAAAAGGCCGAAGGAAGTAGGGCCTCAGGGCAAGGATCCTCAGGCCTGTGGGCATCCATCGCCAACATTTCAGCCTCCAGCAGCTCAGGCCCGGGCCGACCCAGCCCCAGGCACACCCTCCCAGACCAGGAGCTTCAGGTCTGCAGGCCTTCAATCACCAAACTCTCCACGATGTTTCTCCGGGCCTCCACCTCGGGCACCAAAACAGGCCACTACCTCCCCGAAGCCCAGGCCTTGCCCTGCCCCAAAGAGGCCAGTTTCTCTGGAGCTCATTCTCCAAAAGTCATCAGTTTAGTTCCAGAGCCACGGAGGCCCCCTGGAACACCCCCTCCAAACCCCACCCTCCCAACCAGGCCCCAGATCTCGGGGAGTCCCCGAGACACCCTGAAGGGCTGGCTGGCAGGAAGTCAGGTGTGTTCTCCTGCTCTGAACCCTGGGAGCCCCTTGTGGAGTCTGCTGTCTCCAGGCTGAAGAGGACCAAGGGCACCAAGACCCCATTCAGCCCTCCGTGTAGCTAATAAAATCTGACCCTGTGAAACTTGTGTTTGTGTCCTGCTGAGTCCACAGAATAGGTAGCTATAACTACAGGAGTGCCAGTCTCCAACAAGACCCTTGGTGGCGGGGAGGGGGTGGTTCATGCCTATAATCCCAACACACTGGGAGGCTGAGGTAGGAGGATCGCTTGAAGCCAGGAGTTTGAGACCAGCCTGGGCAACATAGCAAGACCCTGTCTCTCCAAAAATAAAAATATTAAAAAATCAGCTGAGTATGGTGGGATGTGCCTGTACTATCAGCTACTCAAGCTACTCAAGAGGCTGAAGTGGGAGGATCACTTGAGTCCACGAGTTCAAGGTTACAATGAGCTATATCATGCCACTGCACTCCAGCCTGGGTGACAGAGACCCTATCTCAAAAAAAAAAAAAAAAAAGGGCAGGGTGTGGTGGCTCAAGCCTGTAATCCCAGCACTTTGGGAGGCCAAGGTGGGCATGCCATTTAAGGTCAGGAGTACGAGACCAGCCTGGCCAACATGGTAAAACTCCGTCTCCACTAAAAATACAAAAATTAGCCGGGCGTGGTGGCAGGCACCTGTAGTTCCAACTACTCAGGAGGCTGAGGCAGGAGAATCACTTGGACCTGGGAGGCGGAGGTTGCAGTGAGCTGAGATCAGGCCACTGCACTCCAGCCTGGGCAACAGAGCGAGACTCCGTCTCAAAAAATAAAAGAAAAAAGACCCTGGAGGATGGTGTCAAAGGAAACAGAGAGGCCAGAAAGAGCAGGTGCCATGTATCCAAGGAGGACAAGGGACCCACAAGGCCTGGGGACTTAAGAAATGCAGACAGCTTGGCCATGCCCTTCACACATCTAATGTAACTCTGTGGGACAGATACTAGCATCACCAAAGATGAAGCCACTGCACCACTCCTCTGGGTGCACCTTAGTTAATCAGAATGCAGGAGGGGTATCTCCTTTCAGGGAAGGACATCCCTTGTGCTCACTCTCAAGAGTGCACAAAGGTCACAAATCCGAGGAAGGATGGAGTGTCAGGTGCAGAAGATACCTGCCCTGCAGAGGCCAGCAAAGCAGCTGGCCACCCACCAAGCCACCAGCCCAGGAGTGTGAAGCCTTGAGAAAGGGAATGGCGGACACTACCCCTGCCAAAAGTGGGGGATAGGAGTTAAGGATGACAGAGGCGTCCCCATACGAGGAAGCAGTGGATTCAGCATTTGAAGTCAGGTTTATTTTTAAGTTCATGCTGCCTCCATTAAGAAGCAAGAGACTCCGGTGGTTTCTGGTGTGTGCCCTCCGGCAAATCACTTCATCTCTGGGGTAAGCTGCAAAGGCCTGTGCTCCCAGGAGTTGGCGTATCACTCACCAAGTGGGAACAGTCCTAATTCGAGGATTTCATGTGTGTGACAGACAGGGTCTAGCTCTGTCACCCAGGGGCTGGAGTGCAGTGGTGACATCACTGGTGGTCGAGCATAGTGGTCGAGCTCACTGCAGCCTCGACCTCCCAGTCTCAAGTGATCCTCCCGCCTGAGCCTCCTGGGCAGCTGGGCCCACAGGTGCCACGACGTTTGGCTAATTTTTAAATATTTTGTAGAGACAGAGTCTCCCCATGTTGTCCAGGCTGGTCTAGAAAGCCCAGGCTCAAGCCATCCTCCCCTCTCGGACTGTCTGAAAGTGTTGGGATTACAGGGGGATTACAGGCATGAGCAACCATGCCTGGCAGAGGATTTTTTTTTTTTTTTTTTGAGACGGAGTTTCACTCTTGTTGCTTGCTGCCCAGGCTGGAGTGCAATGGCAATGGCGTGATCTCGTCTCACTGCAACCTCTATCTCCCAGGTTCAAGTAATTCTCCTGCCTCAGGCCCCCGAGTAGCTGGGATTACAGGCGAACGCCACCACAGGCGCATGCCACCACACCTTTGTATTTTTGGTACAGACGGGATTTCTCCATGTTGGTCAGGCTGGTCTCGAACTTCTGAACTTGTGATCCGCCCGCCTCGGCCTCCCAAAGTGCTGGGATTACAGGCGTGAGTCGGATTTCTTTATTAAAGGTTGACCGTCATCAAGCTCCACTGGCTCCACCTCCTCCGCGCCCCGGGGCGCCCCGCACAAAGATGGCGAAGTCGGTGCTGGGCGACTGTGCCTTGCCCCGCCCCGGGGAAGGCGGCCCCGCCGGCTAGTGCTGACTCGTGTCGGTGCTCCTGCGCCTGCGCGGAGGGAGACGCGGGACAGGTGCGCGTGCGCAGTGCGCGTCTGCGAGAGCGACTTAGACGCACTCGAGCTGAACCGCGGCTGCCTGCGGGTGGTCAGGGTTTTGGCAATTCCCCGGTGTGAGAGGGGTCGGGTGTGCTCCCAGCGGCGACGGGGCCGAGTTCACCAGCGGCCGGGGCAGTAGTCGAAGGCCCGGCCCGTTATGTCCTGGGTGCCGTGGTGCGGGCAGTGAACGCGCGCCGGGCGGGATGGGCCGACGCCGGGCGCCAGAGCTGTACCGGGCTCCGTTCCCGTTGTATGCGCTTCAGGTTGACCCCAGCACTGGGCTGCTCATCGCTGCGGGCGGAGGAGGCGCCGCCAAGACAGGCATAAAGAATGGTGTGGTGAGAGCTCAGAGCCACTGGGGCTGGGTCTTGCTGTGGGCTGGCGGCGATTCCAGGGTGGCCGGGGGTCGCGGGGCGGGCCACACTCCAGCTTCAGGCCCTGCCCACTTCTCTTGGGAACACCCGCTTGCCTGACGCCCCGGCGCGAATTTCAGTCGAGAACTCAGCAGGCAGAGGAGAGGCTTTTAAGGTAAAGTGAAAGCTGCACACAGCTGCAGAGCCGGCAGGAACGCTTCAGCTCCGCCTCGGAGCAGCTCCAGGGCTCTTATTCTGGCCTTTTCCCGGAGGTCTTGCCTGCCCTCTAGCAGCGGCGAGAGTGGTGCCTTTGGGTTTAGGCTAAGTTCCTTCCCTCTTCTGAGCTTCACCCTGTTCTGTAAAATGGAGGTAATAATCTCAGTCCTGCTCAGTGTAGAGATTTGTGAGGCCCAAATGAGAGAAAAAAGACTCGAGAACCCCTTATGAACTATAACGTGCAGAAAGTAAAGGGGTAAGACATCAGACTGTTCCTAGACGTGCTCTCTGGGCACCCCTGAACTTGCTCATCCGGGTTCCCCCTCCCACAGCACTTTCTGCAACTAGAGCGGATTAATGGGCGCTTGAGTGCCTCCTTGCTGCACTCCCATGACACAGAGACACGGGCCACCATGAACTTGGCACTGGCTGGTGACATCCTTGCTGCAGGGCAGGATGCCCACTGTCAGCTCCTGCGCTTCCAGGCCCATCAACAGAAAGGCAACAAGGCAGAGAAGGCAGGTAAGGAGCTCTCTCCCTCTCTACCCGCTTGGGGAAAGGGTTGAACGAGTAAGGTCACTCTTATCTTGGTGTCTCTAAAGAAGTGGGTCTGGAAGTAGGGTTTTGGTAGCAAGCTAGAAGCTGTATGGGCACCTGCCATGGAGAGAGGGGCCAGTACTCCTTACTGTAGAAGCCTAGAACCTGGCCAAGTGTTTGTGTTACAGGTTCCAAGGAGCAGGGGCCTCGACAAAGGAAGGGAGCAGCCCCAGCAGAGAAGAAATGTGGAGCGGAAACCCAGCACGAGGGGCTAGAACTCAGGGTAGAGAATTTGCAGGCAGTGCAGACAGACTTCAGCTCCGATCCACTGCAGAAAGTTGTGTGCTTCAACCATGATAACACCCTGCTTGCCACTGGAGGGACAGATGGCTACGTTCGTGTCTGGAAGGTGTGGGTTTGCGGGGTTAGGGAGGATGAATGTCAGTAACAGCAAGACCAAAATTGTGAGAAGCTGAACGTGGCATCTGGGAAATTTGTGAATGAAGCTTGCATTGAGGGGCCATTAGAAGGGAGTGGCGTGGAGATCAGTCACAGTGTACTTGCTGGACACCTGAGTTAACTATGGTGGTGGTTTGGCTACAGGTACCCAGCCTGGAGAAGGTTCTGGAGTTCAAAGCCCACGAAGGGGAGATTGAAGACCTGGCTTTAGGGCCTGATGGCAAGGTGAGGGGGTGGGGGTGGGAGGAGGGTGGAGAAGGAGAGAGGAGGTGCTTATGCTGCTTGCCCAGTGAGTGGCTCCCCTAACTGTCCATCCTTGGAATCTTTATTCCTGACTAGTTGGTAACCGTGGGCCGGGACCTTAAGGCCTCTGTGTGGCAGAAGAATCAGCTGGTGACACAGCTGCACTGGCAAGAGAATGGACCCACCTTTTCCAGCACACCTTACCGTTATCAGGCCTGCAGGTGTGAAGACTTTGCGGGGTGGCTGAAAGAGGCATAGCCCAGCTGTGATAGGGGAGAGGGAAAAGACTGGGGATGGGAGAGCTGGGGAGGAACTTGTTGAGTTTTACCTCAGGTCTGACCAGAGTGCAGGTGGTGCACAAACCTCTGAGGAGGGTTGGGCAGGACCCAGGAGATGAATAGCTCCTCATCCGGCCCCCAGGTTTGGGCAGGTTCCAGACCAGCCTGCTGGGCTGCGACTCTTCACAGTACAAATTCCCCACAAGCGCCTGCGCCAGCCCCCTCCCTGCTACCTCACAGCCTGGGATGGCTCCAACTTCTTGCCCCTTCGGACCAAGTCCTGTGGCCATGAAGTCATCTCCTGCCTCAATGTCAGGTGCGAGACGTTACTGCCTTGGCTAGGTGGGGGTCCCTGAGGGAGCCTGGAAAGGAGTCCTGCCTGGGTCCCCGCGGACCGGGATTGGGGTATGAGGGTTGCTGCACAAGCCTCCAGGACAACGAGCACTTTATTGTTTGTTGCAGTGAGTCTGGCACCTTCCTAGGCCTGGGCACGGTCACTGGCTCTGTTGCCATCTACATAGCTTTCTCTCTCCAGGTAATGGGTGGAGGTTGGCATGGCCCTGTCGGTGGACTGTAGGCCTGTGTCTGCCCTGAGTGTGCAGGAAGGAGTCTGGCCCGTTCTATAGAGGGAAAACCTGGGGGTGGGGAGCATGCTTTCCAGAAAGACAGTTCCCAGCTAGGCCTTTCCTCACTTGTTTTCCTTCTACCTGCAGTGCCTCTACTACGTGAGGGAGGCCCATGGCATTGTGGTGACGGATGTGGCCTTTCTACCTGAGAAGGGTCGAGGTCCAGAGCTCCTTGGGTCCCATGAAACTGCCCTGTTCTCTGTGGCTGTGGACAGTCGTTGCCAGCTGCATCTGTTGCCCTCACGGAGTGAGTCATTGGGCGGGGCAGGCAGGCACCACCCCACCTTTAACTGGAGCAGAAACATGCCCCCCGGGGGCTAGGCTCTTGTTTGTGCCACTCCCCCTTTGAAGGGTTCTGGTTTTCAGGCTGGGAAGCCCCTTTGCCTGCTGACCTCTCCCTTTCCCTCCTGCAGGGAGTGTTCCTGTGTGGCTCCTGCTTCTGCTGTGTGTCGGGCTTATTGTTGTGACCATCCTGCTGCTCCAGAGTGCCTTTCCAGGTTTCCTTTAGCTTCCCTGCTTCCTGGGAATCAGGAGCCTGGACACTGCCATCTCTAGAGCAGAGTGGAGGCCTGGACTCCCTTTGCTCACTCCATTCGGGTCCACAGCTGAGGCTGCCTCTGATAAGATGAATGGGCACTGCCTTCCCTTCTAGTGAAAAGGCTTGGTTATGGCCCTGCCTGACTCTGGGCCCCAGGAACCCTGCCTTCATCATCTGTGGATCCATCCAGAACAGTGGTGTCTGAAGCCCAGGCCATACTCCCTGCCTCTTTCCTTCTGCCTACTAGAGGCTCGAGAGTTGAACTTGTCCTTTCTCTAGAAACATGTGAAGATGCCCAAGAGCCTGGAGGCACTGCTGTCCTTCCTGCAGAAACAGTTTCTCCTCCTCCCCTCACAGCCTTGGGGCCAGTTCCCCTTCACATGAAGCCCCTGGCATTTGCTGGGGAAGGGACTGGCCTGGTACTTGCTGCTGGGGCAAAAAGACGACTTGGGTAGTAATCTGGGGGTTCAGATGGGTAGCACTAAGCCAGCCGGCCTAAAGATGCAGTAAGTTCCTAGATAGTCTAACCTTGAGGAAAGGGAAAATGAACCTCAGCCCACTAGGCAGGAAAAGTTGATATTTAATAAACAAGGAAAGAGTGAACTGAGACCCCCAATGGTACTCTTGTCAGCTATTTCTGTCCTCAGAAGGCGAGAGAGCCCAGAGGTCAGGCAGCCCCTCTGGGGGCTGGAAGATGGCTCTGGCGTACTGATGCAAGAGGCAGCTCATGTAGCAGTGCTGCCATGGGAGCAGCCCTTCCAGGAAGCCGACGTGGCCACCCCTGGCTGTGATGAGCAGCGCAATGTAGGGGGAGTGTTGGGCGGCCTGTATGGGAAGGGCTAGGAGAGGGTCAGGGGTCAGAAACGGCCTTTACTGGGAGCCCAGGCTGTCTGTCGCGTCCCTCATGGCCCATTTTCCTTGGGGCCAAAGTGTCCTGATTCAGAGTACTCACCACCGACGGGGGAGAAGGGGTCATCTGCTGCATTGAGACAGAGCACAGGGATCCGGATGGCATCTACCTTGGTTCTAGGGCTTGCTGCTTTGTAGTAGGTAACACAGTCTTGATATCCAAAGGCCACAGATGTGTAGCGCTCATCAAACTGGCGGATTGTGCGGGCCTGCAGGTGTTACCGTAGGATAGGCTAAGATGATAAAGAATGGGAAGATAGTGGAAGACTCATTTGGGGGGGCCCAGGGGCATGGCTGAAGATTATACCTGTAGCACAAAGTCTATGTCCACCACCTTTTCAATCACCTTTCTCTTTCTACAAGAGTACATAAGAGTTTGGCTTGACACCTGGACCTGACCCCCCGCCCCCAGGCCCTGTCTTACTATCTCATGTGTGAAGAAGCCCAGAGAGAACTGACCGAGCACTAGGAGAGCTTGGAGTGTCTGCCATCCTACTCTGTCTACTGCCTCCTCCCACTTGCCACGACCCTACTGTTGCACAAGCTGGCAGAGCGCAGCAGTGAGGGGCCGATTGAAGAGCAGTGAGTTGAGTGGGGTTTCCAGGGAGCGGGTGGTCTCAGAGGAATCCCAGCATGCAGACAGAGTCAGTGCTGCCACCAGCCCTGCAGCCTGCCCGGCCTGTGCCAGGTGATTCAGCACCAGTATCCTGTAGAATTGGACAAGGGACCATGAAAGAAGGGTTTGCATTAATGTGAGTTGGGACAGAGGGAGGGGACATGGAGGAGGAAAGGAAGACTGGGCCTCTGGGTTAAGCCTAGGCAATCTTTACCCTCCAAAAGAGATGCCCACGGCTAGCAGTGGAGCTTGGGGATAGCGGTGTTTTATGTGGTTCACGACTGTCTGTAGATCTTCAGTATTGCTGGCACAAAAAGCCCTGTGGGTCTGAGGGCAAATCAGATCATTAGGTAGGGAGGGAGACCGTGGTCAGAAGGTGGAGGGGAAATTGAGGAAGGAGAGGTAGGAGGTAGAGCCCCAGGGCCAAGGATCTCTAAAGGGAGTGGGTGAAGGGCTACTATGAGGAAGGCCGCTACTCACCCGCAGTTCCTCCCCACGGCAGCCCCGGTTGTTAAACACGACAGCCCTGTGGCACACAGGTACATCTTAGCTAGACCCTTCTTAGCCCCTCTTCCCTTTCAGTAGTCTTCAGAAAGACCCCTGTCCAAAGATTCCCTTCGTGTAGCATTCTTCATATCTATCAGTGTCCAGATTGATTTCTCCCTAGTACACGTTCTCAGATGCCACCCCACTCCGGGGCTGCACCCATCCTTACTGGTAGCCATCCCTCAGAGCTTGGTTAACTAGGTGCAAGATGTATGTCTCCTGGCTACTGCCGGTGATGCCAGGAAGCAGCAGCACAATGGGCTGGGTAGTAGGATCAGGGTCTTGGCTGCTGTCAGGCTGCTTGGCCCAGTCTAGCAGGAGCTGGCCTCCATCTGGTGTTTGGAGGATGTCACTGTGGTTTTGGAGGAAGAGGCACACAAAGATAACAATGTAATTCAAAAGCTTTGTCCTGTGCCCCACCCATAAACGAGTCTCATAACTTCCCATCAGCATCCTCTGAGGGTGTTTTTCATGTAAAACAGTAAGGCTTGACAATGTGGGGTGGGGACATAAAAGATCATGACCTGATGGCCATGCAATTATATAGCCCTTCCATATAACATCCACTCTCATTGTACCCTCAACACAGGGATGTAGATGAGACAGATTACCTACATTTTAAAAGTGGTAGATTTTCCCTAGATACCTGGGGTTTCACGTTCACCCTGTTCTGTCCCTTCTTACCTCTGATAAAAGACTAGGGGCTGAGACTGCAGGAAGACTTGGAAGATGCTTTGTAGTCACCCCTCAAAACACCACAGCGTTGGGTAGAAAGTCTCCGTGGTGATGGAACAGTGTTGCTCCAGGAAGGCCAGAAACTGTGGCCCAGCCACCAGCCGAGGCCTCTGTAATCACACAACAGTCTGCCCCACTTCCCTGACTTTTGCACCAAGCTAATGAGGCACCCAACACCAGAGGGTGAGAGGGCCCCTCTCCAGAGGACAGCCGGGAGGACCCTGCTTTGTCTGCACGTGAGATACTCAGCACAGCTCAGTTGATTGGCCAAGTCTCTGATAATACACTCCAGCTAGAGCCCCTAAAAACCCAGTCTTGGAGTGTCACTGCCCAGAATTGACCCTGAACTGGGAGCTGCTGAGTTGACTGAGTGCTGACTTTCCCGCTCAGCCTATCCATGCCCCAAACCCATTTTGGAGACAGCAGGTAATGTAAATAGCCAGGTTCAGTGGTGTGCGTCTGTGGTCCCAGCCACTTGGGAGGCTGAGGTGGGAGGATCGCTTGAGCCCAGGAGTTCAAGGCTGCAGTGAGCTATGATAGCACCACGGTTCGCTAGCCTGGGCGACAGTGAGACCCTGTCAATAAATAAGTGCCCAGCTGATCCCCTGCAGAAAAAGTCGGGGTTCTGGGCAGGGGCTGAAGAAATGCAGCACCATTCAATCTTCAACCTTTACTTTGCAGTTGAAAATGAAGCCGACTGGGCGCAGTGGCTCCTGCCTGTAATCCCAGCACTTTGGGAGGCTGAGGCGGGTGGATCATGAGGTCAAGAGATGGAGACCATCCTGGCCAACATAGTGAGACCCTGATTCTACTAAAAATACAAAAATTAGCCAGGCATGGTGGTGCATGCTTATAGTCTCAGCTACTCAGGAGGCTGAGGCAGGAGAATCGCCTCTGCACTCCAGTCTGATGACAGAGCAAAACACTGTCTTTTTTTTTTGAGACAGAATCTCTCTCTGTCACCCAGGCTGGAGTGCAGTGGTGCGATCTTGGCTCACTGCAAGCTCCACCTCCTGGGTTCACGCCATTCTACTGCCTCAGCCTCCCGAGTAGCTGGGACTAGAGGCGCCCACCCAGGCCGGCCTAATTTTTTGTATTTTTAGTAGAGACGGGGTTTCACCGTGTTAGCCAGGATGGTCTCAATCTCCTGACCTCTTGACCCGCCCGCCTTGGCCTCCCAAAGTGGTGAGATTACAGGCGTGAGCCACCACGCCTGGCCTAAGGGGCTTCTTTCTACCAGGGACCTTATCTTCTCTTACTTGTGGGGCCCCTGCTGTTAGATTGTGCTTTAAAGGAAGAACAGCCCTAATGTGGATCAATGTTTTTCTTCCTTCATGCCAGCCAGGGGGAAGGTGACAAGGATGAAATAACAGGGACAGATGAGGTCAGTGGGCACTGAGCCCTGACTTTCAGCTTCTCTGCTGTATTCTGGACAGACCTCAAGTGAATGAGAGAGCCTAGCCACGTAGAAGGCATGTGAAGGAGGAGTATGCCATAGGTTCAAGAATAGAAACTGCATATCTGCAATGAGTCCTAAGGAACATGAAGACCGGGTTTCTATCTCCAGTATAGTCCCCATACTCTACAGGGGCAAATGGCAGAGAGGCCAAGTTGATAGTGCAACTGTTGGGAGATGTGACTTTCAACCCTAGTCCTTAAGCCCTGGAATTATGACAGCTGTCAGTCGTGTGCAGGCACTGGACTAAGCCCAAGCTTATGAGATATTTTATAAGTGAAGAAGTTATGACTGACAGATGTTAAGTGGTTTGTCCAGTTACACAGCAAGCAAAACAAAATTATTAACTATGACATTACCACCAGTACTTGTAGGTAAGATTTGTTGAGTGCTCATTAAGCTCCAGGCATTGTGCTAAGCACTTCACACAAATTTTGTCTTGTGATTTTCACAATGGTTTCATGAAATAGGTTGTATTTGAATGCTGAATAACTTGTCAAAGGTCAGAAGCATGCCAGAACTAGTTAGTGGCAGAACAGGAGATTCAAACCCAGGTCTCTCTGACTCTAGAGCCTGCACTGCCTAGTCACTGTTGTGTATTGCCTCCTAATTGCCAAGATTTTGAGTTGCTATCCATTTTTTTTTTTTTTTCCTTGAGACGGAGTTTTGCTCTGACACCCAGGCTGGAATGCAGTGGTGTCATCTCAGCTCACCACAACCTCTGCCTCCTGGGTTCCGAGTAGCTGGGATTATAGGCATGTGCCACCATGCCCGGCTAATTTTTTGTATTTTTAGTAGAGACGGGGTTTCTTCATGTTGGTCAGGCTGGTCTCGAACTCCCGATCTCAGGTGATCCTCACACCTCTGCTTCCCAAAGTGTTGGGATTACAGGCGTGAGCCACCGTGCCCGGCCCTAAGGAAGACATTTAGTAAACAATAAATGCTAATGTAGAAAGCTCTGAAAATATGGAAAAGTCTCGGTAACACTAAAGGCTCCTGTAGACCTTTTTAAAGGACTCGAACCAGTAGGTGTCTTGTTAGACTCAGCTACCTAGAACAGAGTTTAATGAAGATGAAAATATTTGGCTTTTCCTGGATATGTAAATTATGTATTTATCTAAATTTCAGTGAGAAAAATCTCCAAATTCATCAAAATCAACCTCTTCAAACTTTCTCATCACACTATATGGAGAGCCTGGAACATAAAACAGGGCTGAATGAGCAAGGACAGGGTCATCCATCAGTTCTGGGCTAGACCAGTTTCTGGCCTCAGCCAGCCCTTAAGGGAAGGGAGGCCCTACTAAGCTATTTGGGGGGTGGGTGGTGGTGGGAGTTAGCCATGATCCCACAGACCTCTGGTTCCTTCCTTCAGTGCAGGTGAAAGACTCAGCTAAACCACCTAAAAAGGAACGCAAAGTGTGCACATCTCTGACACCTCAGGATGCCTTCCAACCCACTTTTCCCAAATGCTTGTCCACATCATAGAGAGCAGCACCCTCCGGTGCCCAAAAGGCCCAGGTGGCATGGGGAGCACATGGGATGCAGAGGCACTAGGGAGGCAGAGCCGAGTCTCCATTCGGTGGGAGCAAATTTCATCTGTGGGGAAGCCCAACCATTCCAGCTCCCACCAAGGGCTCAAGCCCGTGTCTGGAAGCTGCCCCTACACCCAAACCCGCCGGCCAGAGCACTGGACCCGCACCCACCTGAAGGACACATGCCCAGTAGTAGCCCAAGTAGAGGGCAACGGCAAGAGCCAAGGGCAGAGAAAAGGTGTCTGCCCAGGTGCCATTCTGGGGGCTCAGGAAGGAGTTCAGCATCTTGTGTTGGGGGCTTGCGACCCTTAGGCTCCTGGCTGGCCCCGGCTCGCCGGCCGCCTGCCATAGGCAGCCTGTGCAGGTCCTGTCCCCGCTGCCGGCCGTTCGCGCTGCCCGCCCCGCCCATCGCCGGTGCCGGCGGCTAGGCGGCGAGAGGCGGTGCTAGTTGGTCGCTGGGCTGGGCAGCTGCGCCTAGTGTCCCGCGCGGAAGTAACTCGAGCGACCTGCGAATGGCCTCCCGCCCTCCCCCGCCTTCTGCTTCCCCTCCGCGGTTCCTGGCTCTGGAGCCCGAGACAAGCGGCCTCCCCCAGCTGCCATCTTGGTGCGCGGCATCTCCAGCTCCCTCAAACTCTTCCCCGGCGACGCCCTGAGTCCAGCAGCCTGGCCAGAGCCCCTCAGGCACTCGCAGTCAGTCACACACAGGACACAGCTACTCCCACGGTGACATTCTGCTCTGTCACAGACTACAGTCATTCACAGTGACCCTCACCACTGTCCGACTGTGACACCCCACACTGTCACACAGTTTTCAGATGCTCAGTGTTGGCATTGCACACACATGCAGCTTCCTGCAGTGTCACTCTGTGTTGTCTCATACAGTCCCTGCCACACAGTCCTCAACAGTAGATAATTTGCTCACCACCCGCTCTGTACCAGGCACTTGATGCAGACCTCCCCCCCGCCATGTTACTGTCCCTGTCTTCATTGAAAGATGGGAGGTCGTCTACTAAGAGTAATGGCTTTCAACCTTGACTGCAGATCGGAATCATCTACGATTTTTAAAACTGCCAGTGCCCAGGCCCTACCCCCGATACAGTTGGTCTGGAGAGGAGCCTAGGTATCAGTATACCGTAAAGCTTATAGGAGGTTCACAAGTCATCAGGGCTTAACAGAGTCCACACAAGGGAAGTACCAGTTGTCATGGGAGCACTGCGGGGGTGCCCGGACTTCATGGGAGGGTGTTCTAGCAGATGGGGCAGCATAGGCAAAAGCCTGGAGGTGAAGGATGTCTTAAGGGAACAGAAAGAAATTTGGTGTGACTGGAACATGTGGGTGGTCAAGGACTACATAATTGCTGCAGTTTATCATAGGTCAGAGGAAAGCCATCCTAGGGTTTTAAGAAGGGAAGAGTGACATGAGTTATGTTTTAGGAGAATCATTTAGTTGCTGGGAGAATAGATTGGAGGAGGAGGAAAGTAAAAGCAAAGAGGCCACTGGGAGGCTGCTAACAGAACACCAGGCTCAAAAGATGCCTGGACTGGAGTATACCCAGGAGAGGAGTGAAGAGCTTCAAGATCAGAGGCACAATTGATAGAACCTGGTGGTAGACTGGAGGCAGGGGAAGAAGGAGGAACACGGATGGCCCCCAGGTTTCCGACTGCACAGACATAAAGTGCCCATCCCTGGGATAGGGAAACAGAGGACAGGAAGATTTGAAGAGGAAGATGATGCATTTAGACACAGACATGTAGAGGATGGGGTGCTGGTGAGTGTTTTAACTGCGTTTCCTTAGGTTCTGTATTTGTCTCTTTGGCATCCATAAATCACAGGGCCAACCTCATGTCCAGGGTTATTTACATCTCCCTGCAATCCAGAGCTCATACTCTGAGTCACTTCCTTTCTCTAACTTTCACATTCCAAGCCAGTATCTCCCCTGCCCTAAATCAACCCAGGACCAGTCCCTGTGCCCCAGAGTGCTCTGGGATTATTCAAACTAGGCAGCCCCAAACCACTTCTCCGGCCTTACTGGGAGAAGTACACCCCAGTAAAGGCCTGTACCCTCCCCTCGCTCCTTTCTGCCTCCTGTGTGACACTGGTACTTCCCCCTGTGACTGTGCCTTTTGTTTCTAGGGGAACTGTGAATAACATTAAGCTTTTCTTTCAATGGCAGTGACCTCTTCATGTCCTCACTCAGCCACCTTTGTAAATTAAGACTCAGGCACAAATTAGTAGGATATTCAATGCCTGAAGTGGCCTGGGGCTTAGAGATTGGAGCTGGGGAATTGGTAATCATCGGCATTTAGGTGGTATATTAGTTGGCAGTTTGCTCTAAGAAAGCACTACAAACTGGGTGTCTTAAACCAGGGGTCCCCAACCCCCTGGGCTGCAAATTGGTACTGGTCCATGGCCTGTTAGGAAGCAGGTGGCATAGCAGTAGGTGAGCAGGGTGAGCAAGCATTACTGCCTGAGATCAGTGGTGGAATTAGATTCTCATAAGAGTGCAAACCCTATTGTGAACTGCACACAAGAAGGATCTAGGTTGCGTGCTCCTTATTAAAATCTAATGCCTGATGATCTGAGGTGGAAGTTTCATCTCAAAACCATCCCCCTCACCCCCAACCCTTCTGATATGTGGAAAGATTGTCTTCTCTGAGGCTGGGCACCGTGGCTCACGCCTGTAATGCCCAATGCTTTGAGAGGTCAAGGCAGGCGAATTACCTGAGGTCAGGAGTTCGAGACCAGCCTGGCCAACATGGTGAAACCTCGTCCCTACTAAAAAAAATACAAAAAAATTAAAAATAAAAATTAGCTGGGTGTGGTGGCGCACACCTGTAATCCTAGCTATTCGGGAGGCTGAGACATGAGAATCACTTGAACCTGGGAGCCGGAGGTTGCAGTGAGCTGAGATAGCACCACTGCACTCTAGCTGGGATGACAGAGTGAGACTCTGTCTCAAAAAAAAAAAAAAGATTGTCTTCTCTGAAACTGGTCCCTGGTGCCAAAAAGGTTGGGGACTGTCTTAAACAACAGAGATTTATTGTCTCACACTTCTGGAGACTAGAAGTCAAGATTGAAATATCAGTAGGGTGGGTTCGTTCTGGGAGCCATGAGGAATAATCTATTCCGTGCCTCTCCCCTGGCTTCTGGTGTTTTGCTGGAAATCTTTGGCACTCCCTGACTGGTAGAAGCATCACCCTGATCTCTGTCTTCATCCTCACAAACATCTTAGTGTGTTTGCGCTGCTATAACAAAACCCCACAGATTGGGTCATTTACAAACAACAGAAATTTATGCCTCACAGTTCTGGAGACTGGGAAGTCCAAGATCCAGGCACTAGCAGGTTCGGTGTCTGTGAATGTCTGTGCCTCAGAGATGGTGCATCTGGGTTTCCTCACGTGATGGAAGGGACAGAAAGGCAAGAGAGCAAGAGGGCTGAACTCTCTCAGAAACCTCGTTCATAAAGTCATTAATCCGTTCACGAGAGGAGAGCCTTCATGGTTTCATCATGTCCCAAAAGTCCCTACTTCTTTTTGTTTTTTTTCAGAGGCAGGATATTGCTCTGTCACCAGTGTTGGAGTACAGTGGCAGGATCACAGCTCACTGTAACCTCAAATTCCTGGACTCAAGGGATCTGCCTGCCTCAGCCTCCCAAATAGCTGGGACTACAGGCATGCACCACCATGCCTAATATTTATTTATTTATTTATTTATTTATTTACTGTAGAGACATGGTCTCACTATATTGCCCAGACTGGTCGAAAACTCCTGGCCTCAAGAGATCCTCCCACTTCAGCCTCCCAAAGTACTGGGATTACAGGTGCGAGCCACTGTGCCCAGCTTCCTCCTCTTAATATCACCACAATGATGACTAAGTTTCAGCACGTGAATTTGGGGGGATATTCAGGCCATAGCAATGTTCTTCCTATGTGTGTGTCTGTGTCCACATTTCCTCTTTTGATATGAACACCAGTCATATTGATTAAGGGCCCACCCTACTCCAGTATGAACTCATCTTAATTAATTACATCATTATTTCCAAATAAGATCACAGTCTGAGGTATTGGAAGTCAGGACTTCAACATATAACTTTGTGAAGGACACGAGTCAATGCATAACAGTGATGGGAGCTAGGTGAGCAAATGAGCACATGAGCAGATGGAGAGTGAGGAGACAGCCCAGAGGAACTCTGATGCTAAAGAAAATGGAGACCTTTTTGAAATGACCAGAGGTAGGAGAGGTGTTGCTGAAACCAGCGGAATCCGTGATCTAAAGAGGCAGTGACTAGCAGTATTTATCACTGGGAGGACAGGATGAGAGTGGGCTTGTCGCTGTGACGACAGTGTCGCTGTGACGGAGTGTCACAAACAACTCAGGAAGAGTTCACCCTGACACCCCAATACATATGCCTCTAACACTCTGCACTGCCAGACCCCTGGGCAGTCAGTCACACGTTGGCCATACCCTGAAGCGCACACTATCATTTATTTTTTATTTATTTATCTATTTATGTTTTGAGACATAAATAAATTTATGTCTTTGTCACCCAGGCTGGAGTGCAGTGGCGCAATCTCGGCTCACTGCAAGCTTCACCTTCCGGGTTCACGCCATTCTCCTGCCTCAGCCTCCTGAGCAGCGGGGACTACAGGCGCCCGCCACCACACCCAGCTAATTTTTGTTTTTAGTAGAGACCGGGTTTCACTGTGTTTACTAGGATGGTCTCGATTTCCTGACCTCGTGATCCTGCCGCTTCGGCCTCCCAAAGTTCTGGGATTACAGGCGTGAGCCACCGTGCCTGGCCCCTGAAGCCCACACTATCACACGGATGCACAGTCACACAAAATACTCCCTACCGTGTCACAAATTCCTCATACACAGAGCCACAGATGCCAGCCACAACTGCACATGCTAATAGTGTTAGGTTCCATTTTGTCACATACGTCTGGGTCCCTCAGGCAGAGAAAGTGGCAACCAAAGCACGACCACAGTTAAACATACTTCTGATGCACACTGGCCTCACTGTCTCTTGGTCTCTCTGTACTCATATGTGTGCACACAGGCATACGCACACATCCGCGCACACATACACGCTCACACACGTGCATCCTTACACACGCTCACACGCACGCTCACAATGTCACACGCGTGTGCGCACACGCACACGAGCACACTCACGAGCACACGCGGACCGCACACGCGCACATGCGCACTCACGCACGCGCACACGCGCGCACTCACACGCACACGCGCGCGCGCAGCCCCTCCCGCCGCGGGCGCAGCGAGGGCGCTGGAGGAGCTGCGAAGGGCCAGGTCCGGCGGGCGGGGCGGCGGCTAGCACTGGCTCCGGACTCTGCCCGGCCAGGGCGGCGGCTCCAGCTGGGAGGGCGACGTGGAGCGGCCACGTGGAGCGGCCCGGGGGAGGCTGGCGGCTGCAGGCGAGGCGCGGGCGGCGCAGCAGCCGGGAGCGCCCACGGAGCTGGACTCCCAGCGCGGCGCGGCGCCACAGCAGGTGGGTGAGACCCCGCCCCGGCCGCCGGAGACCCGAGCGCATCACCGCCAGCCACCGAGGGCCGCGCGGGGGAGGTGGCCTCCAGCCTCTGGTCCAGATTCTGAGAGCGCAGTCCCTCTGCATCCCCTGCGGCTGAGACGCGGCAGGAAGCAGTGGCCCTTGCCCCTGTGTCCCGTGAGGGCAGGTGGAGGAAGGGACTGGAGAGCGAACCTGAGGCTCCTTGGTGTGATGTTGGGGCTTCGCAGTTCCCCAGGCGCTTCCCCCAGCCCCGCATTCCGTGTTCCAGCAGTCCTGGGGGAGGGGCAGCTGGCGGGAGCTTTCCCCCTCATTCGGCGGGGAAGAAATGGAGCGCTGGGGAGGGCCCGAGGCTGTCGTCCCCTTGGAAGTGGCCGAGGGAACCAGCTCCCGGGCGTGGGCTCCCCTAGTCCTGTAGTCGCTGTCTCCTTTCTTGGGGGATGGGTGCTGGGAGGCACAACGGCGCCATAGGGATAAATTAAGAATTAAGGGAGAGGATTCCACTCAAAATTTTAGTTTCTCAACAGTTCGACTCTACAGGAGATGGAACTGCCGGCCTGTGAGGTGCTAGGTTCCTGTCCTGGAATGATTCAAGCAGAGGCCATTTGACAGGGTTGCTGTGGAAGAAATTTTTGCACTGGATGGGAAGTTACCCAGGATAACCCTGCAGGGCTCCTGCCACGGCCCAGAGGCTCTGAAATACGCCAGCAGCACCTGCTTGGTGCCAGGCACTTACCCTGTTTTCTCATTACAGCCTCCTCAAACCATTAGGAGACAGATACTGTTATCGTCATTTTTAATATGCAGATCCCAGGGCTCAGAGAGGTTAAGACACCTGCTTAGGTCCCACAGTGAGCAGTATCAGAGGCAGGATTTGATCAGAGGTCTAACCTGTAGGGCGTGCTCTCCTCCCATGCACTGGTGCAAAGGCTTGAAGAACTCTGGGCCCGGAGGGGCATTGTGAATGTGTGAATGCGCATGTGTGACATAGCTTTATTAAATTACATGGCAACTGTTAACAGTTATGGTGGCTTTCATGTGTTTATTAGGGTAATTATGTTCATGCACGTTATAGAAAATGGTTAGGGATATTTTTATTGGACAGGCAGTGGTTCAATAACTGTTTTATTTCTCTCATTTACAAAAGCTTTTATTAATGTTTAGAAATGTCTAAGTGTGAACACATCACACTAACCTCATTACACATTACATGAGGTGCCTTAGCCTTTCCTTAAACAATTGAGGTGGGTTACTTGTACTAAAATGTCACAGTTGGAAGCATTACTTAAGAGAACACTGGCCAGGTGCAGTGGCTCATGCCTGTAATCCCAGCATTTTGGGAGGCCAAGGTGAGTAGATCACTTGAGCTCAGGGGTTCGAGAACAGCCTGACCAACGTGGTGAAACCCTGTCTCTACTAAAAAATACAAAAATTAGCCAGGTGTGGTGGTGCACACCTGTAATCCCAGCTACTTAGGAGGCTGAGGCGGGAGAATCACTTGAGCCTGGGAAGTGGAGACTATAGTGAGTTGATTTTGCACCACTGCACTCCAGCCTGGGTGACAGGCGAGACTCATTAAAAAGAAAAAGAGAGAATAGGCCCTGGCGTGGTGGCTCTGCCGTGAATCCCAACACTTTGGGAGGCTGAGGTGGGTGGATCACCTGAGGTCAGGAGTCTAAGACCAGCCTGGCCAACATGGCAAAACCCCATCTCTACTAAAAATACAAAAATTAGCTGGGCGTGGGGTGGTACCGCCTTGTAATCCCAGCTACTTAGGAGGCTGAGGCAGGAGAACTCGCTTGAACGCCAGGAGGTGGAGGTTTGTGGTGAGCCTGAGTCGTGCCACTTGCACTCCAGCCTGGGCAGCAAGAGTGAGACCTGCATCTTCAAAAAAAAAAAAACCTTGGCTTCATTGCAACCTCTGCTCCTGGGTCAAGCGATTCTCGTGTGTCTCAGCCTCCCAATAGAGCTAGGATTACAGGCACGGCCACCTTGTACCTGGTCAATTTTTGTATTTTTTTTTTTTTTTCGAGCGGAGTCTCCGCTCTGTCGCCAGTGGAGTGCAGTGGCCGGATTCAGCTCACCTGACAAGGCTCCGGCCTCGGTTTACGCCATTCTCCTGCCTCAGCCTCCCGCGTATAGCGGGGAACCTAGCAGGCGGCGCCACGGTGCCGGCTAGTTTTTTTGTTATTTTTAGGTAGAAAGGTCGGGGGTTTCGGCCGTGTGATAACCAGGGTAGGTTCTCGATCTCCTGACCTCCGTGATCCGGCCCGTCTTGGGCCTCCACAGGCTGGTGAATTCACAGGCTTGAGCCCACCTGCCCCGGCCCCTAATTTTTGTATTTTTTAATTAGCTATTTGGGGTTTCACCACGTTGGCCAGACTGTCTCAAAACTCCTGACCTCAGGTAATTTTTTGGCTCCTAAAGGGTGGGTTAGGTGTGCAACCACCAGCTTTTTTTTTTTTTTTTGTTTTTTAATCCAATCTTGCCTGTATCCAGGCTGGAGTGCAAAAGTGACGTAATTATATGGCCTCACTGCAGCCCTTGAACTCATGGGCTCCAAGTTGATCCCTGATCAGATCTCCCAAGAGCTTGGGACCATAGAGATATGAGCCGCATGCTGTATAAATTTAAAACCAATTTTTTTTTTTTTTTTTGTAGAGATGGAGTCTCATTTTGCTCCCAGGCTGGTCTCAAACTCCTGGCTTCAAGCAATCCTTTTGCCTTGGCCTGCAAAATACTGGGATTATAGGCGTGAGCCACTGTACTCAGCCCAGTCACTTGTATTTTTGAGGTGGACTACAGCCGAATGCTAAGGTTGTCAGGAGGGCCCAGAACATTCCAGATTGAGGATGGAACAGGTTGGGCAAAAGCTCTGAAAAAAGTGAAAGTGGAAAGTATTTTAGGAGACTCCAATAACTCCTTTGTTTGAAGCAGAGTGCTATCGTAATGCAGCACTGGAAGATGAGTCAACAGTAACTTGATATCTGATTGTAGAAGGCCTTGAATGCCCAGGTGAAGATTCTGGACTGTAGTAGAAATAGGGAGCCATTGAACGTTCTAGAGCAGTAGAATTCTAGCAAAGGAAGATTTATCTGATGTGGGTATGGAGGGTTCTTTAAGTGGAGAAAATACCAGAGACAGGGATAACATTAAAAGGCTTCTATGTTAGTTTGTGCAAGAAGTAATTCATTATCCGTTTAATATTCACTGTAACCCTGTGAGGTAAATATTATCTCCAATATGCAGATAAGGTAACCGAAGTTTAGTGAGAATAATTAATTTACCCAAGGTCACAGGACAGTCAGTGGTGGAGCATGGTTTAAAAGTAGATCTGGCTGGTTCCAAAGCTCTGTTTTCTGTCCATTAAACAATACTGAAGAGTTAAATATATGAGGGGTACATAGGACCAGGAAGAGGAGAGTGCTAGTCATTCACGAGGTAGGACTCAGGACCAGGCGCATAATTTGCAGGGCTCGGTGCAAAAATGATTGAGAGTTTCAAGATAGTGACAACAGAGCATTAGCCTAAGCACAAGGCCCCTCTGAGAGCAGGGACCTTGTGACTGCACAGGATGCACACCCATGAAGCCAGCCCTTACATGGTTGGTCTTCCAATTACTATGGCAGTTTAACAAACCACCTCAAAATGTAGTGGCTTAAAAGGATAATGGGCCTGGCCTGGTAGCTCATGCATATAATCCCAGCACTTTGGAAGGCTAAGGCAGGAGGATTGCTTGAGCCAGGGGGTTTCTGATCAGCCTGGGCAACATTGTGAAACCCTGTCAAAAAAAAAAAAAGATAACGTTGACATCGACTTTGCACGTGAGTGCAGGCTGTGGAGACAAGCACATTTCTACTGCATTCAGTGTTGGCGGGGGCAGCTCAGAGGCTGGGGTTAGAATCTGGAGCTTAGCTCTCTCCCCTGTTTGCTTATTGGGCTGGGAAGATTTGAGCTGGAGGCTTCTCAGGCATCTCCGTTTCTAGGTGGGTTCTCCACACTGTCTCTTCCGTCGGGTGGCTTCAGGGATGCCAGGTTCCTTCCATGATGGCTCAAGGTTCCAGAGGTGCATGTCTGTGTGTCAAGTGAGGGGGAGAACCACAACCAGACATAAGCTAGGTCACTTATTACCTGGACTTGGAAGTCATGTAAGCATCATTTCAGCAACTCATTAGAAGCCAGTCGCTAAGACCAGATCATACACAAGGGGAGGCGAGTTAAACTCCAAGTTTTGTGGGAAGGAATGTCAAAGAATGTGTAGACAGATTTTTAAAGTGGCATAGTGAGTGACAGGATGAGTGGATCTGAGGGGTGCTTCCCCTTGAGGCCTGAGCGGCTCCCTGCAGAGTCATCCTTTGGAGTTCACAGACATCCTCCTTTAAAAGGCACCTGAGGGCCAGGTGTGGTGGCTTATGCCAATAATCCCAGCACTTTGGGAGGCCGAGGAAGGCGGATTACGAGGTCAGGAGATCGAGACCATCCTGGCCAACATGGTGAAACCCCGTTCCTACTAAAAATACAAAAATTAGCTGGGTGTGGTGGCATATACCTGTAGTCCCAGCTACTCGGGAGGCTGAGGCAGGAGAATTGGTTGAACCTGGGAGACGGAGGTTGCAGTGAGCCGATATCATGCCACTGCACTCCAGCCTGGTGACAGAGCGAGACCATCAAAAAGAAAAAAAAAAAAAAGGCACCTGCTAGTGCGTAAGATCATGTGAAGCCTAGATGATGAGTTTTGACAGCTCTGAGGGGTTTAAATTACTCCAGTGCCTCCTGTTGGCATGGGTCCTAGAAGTAAGCAAAAGGAGTGGAGAAAGCAATTTGAGAGGAGCCAGGTGGGAAGGGGGTGTGTGAAGCCACTGGGGCCGTGCAGATGAACTCTTGGAAGGAAAAAGGCCTCATTGTAGATCAGGCACTGCACTTTACACATCGTGTCTCATTCATTAAACCCTCACCGCAGCCCTGCCGGAGGTGCTCTCCTCAGC